GGGTTAGTCATTACTACATATCATGCTGTTACTCAAACAACTATCCAGAGAGAGAGAGAGAAAAACAGACAGAGACAGACAGAGGAAACCATGCATCTCGTACCAACAGCTCTCTGCACATCGGTCCTCCTCACCAGAGGAAGGAAGGAGAAGGATTTTAATGTCCTGCATCGAGGCTGACAGGAAACACTCCACCCTGAAATCCTTTCACAGCTTTTCTAATATCCATTTGTGAGACATTAAATGCATTAAGTGCTATTTTATAATTTATTGTTAGCCCTGTCACCATAATATGCTCTCAATCATTGTAACATTATCAACTTATCGTAAGATATATGACATCTCAATCATTGTAACATTATCAACTTATCATAAGATATATGACATCATCTCAATCATTGTAACATTATCAACTTATCATAAGATATATGACATCTCAATCATTGTAACATTATCAACTTATCGTAAGATATATGACATCATCTCAATCATTGTAACATTATCAACTTATCATAAGATATATGACATCATCTCAATCATTGTAACATTATCAACTTATCATAAGATATATGGTCATTACCACGATCATTTTTACATTATCGACTTATCTTAAGATATATGACATCATCTCAATCATTTCAACATTGAGTTAAGAGTACGATATATGGAAATCTCAATCATTTTTACGTTATCGACTTATCGTAAGATATATGAACATGACCTCAAAAAAATGTTTACGTTATCAACTTATGGCACAATATAATTCGTGTTACCAGCGCACAAGCGTCCATTATATTATTTACTTTGGTGTGGTTTTATTTATTTTTATATATTTAGTTAATGTTCATATTTTTTGTCTGAATACAGAATTAAAAGGGAAATGCTCTTTGAAAATGTGCATTTGCATTATTATGCGGTTATATTGTTATATCAGTGACATTAAATGGTATTAAAATGACAATAATGTCGGTGATGACATAATGACAACATAAAGTAACAGGACTATTAAGTGTATACATTTTTTCATCTTAAATGATTGATTTCCTACATTTGCCAGAGTGCTTTTTGTCCAAACAGAGAGCGCAGAAGAGGAGAATGGAAAGAGGAAATAAAGGAAAAAGCAACAGAATTAGGTCGGACTACGAGGGGACTTTCTCATTCTGTGAGACGGATGAACAGAAGCGTAAAATTGCGCCTCCCAAAGGTGGTGATTCTGTAATTCTGAGGGACTGACACCAACACGTGATGCGCATCTCTGATGGTTTAGGACAGCTGAGACTGCAGCACTGAATATGTGCTTGATATAATTCAACACACGTCCCTCTGAAAAGACGTTGATAAGAACAAACGAACCACCAAACAGTCTGCAGAGGAACTCTATCGAGATAATGTTGACCGGGGAAATGATTTGAGGCCTACTGTCGGGGAAAGAGGAGGCAGTGAAATGTTAAGACTTTAACTCTGCAGAGACTTCAACGCCTCAGTTGAGTACCTGAACACGCCACTGGGACACATATCTGATGATTTACATCGCATTTAGTCCACATGAGTGCAAAACAATTTCACAGTTGATTTCTGGTCTCATCTGCTAGACAAAGACAAACCAGCGCGTTGATATCAAAACTAAATTCAAATGGAGATGCTCCATAAAGAAGTAAGTTATTACAGAAGGATGGTAATCTCAGTCCTGGAAACTGGACCCACAGTTACAAAACTGGAATTTTGTCAAATGGAAAATGTTTTTTGATTTAGATCCCAAAACAGGTATGACATGTATCCACCGTTAGTGTCATCAGTCAGTACCTTTTATCTGGAGACCAGTTTTCTTCAAAAACAGGCGAATGTATACGGCACTCATCAAACAGAGCCTGTTCTAGCAGCCGGGGGCTTCTTGTGATTGTTTTCAATGAGACTGACAAGTTTTATTTTGTGGTTTTTACCTTGCTCAGCGCCTTGAATGTCTCAAGTTGAAAAAAATTCAAGTCAGAGCAGAAAAAACGCCTTGCCAATTCCGGCAGCCAATGCAAAGTTGGACCGCTGTCACAATGACGTAGTGACCCGTCCTTCTTTTGTATATTCCTTGATAGCTGACAGGAAGTAATGTTGGACCAAAGCTGCTGTTCTTGCAATACAGTGGCAACGATGAGGTCTATATACACACAGTTGCAGAGAAAACTGTGCATTCTGACACGTACCTAATCCACTCTGTTTCATCTCAGGGGATTGACGTGAGCACAACGAGAAGAGGCGATAACTGCCGACTTTCGAGGACGATATCTCCGACAGAACCTGGTGAAAACACACACAAACACACACACACACAACCCTCAGACAGCGGTAACAAGGCTTCAAGTCTCTACTAGCTGGCAGAATAAAATATGCCCTCAGACTAGGGGAGAGGCCAAAACCACAGAAGAAGAAGCTCTGGGTCTATAAAATATTCTGATTATAAAAGTAAATAAACAAACAGCTAAACAGACTTGATTTGATGCTTTGTAGTGTTTTCATGAACAAAACTCTTCAAGTCCACAATAAAAGAAAATGATTTTGGTAACGAGATGGTTTTACCATCATTTAAGTTGCTTCTAGACTTTAATACAGGTGCATGTGGCGAGGAGGTTGCTGTCTGGTTTAAACAGAATGAAGAAGAAGCTGCGCAGCATTCAAATCTTGATGTCAATGTAGTCAATGACCTGAACTGAACTACTGGCTCAGGCCTAGAGTCTGGTGCAGTGGCTCTGCTTCTTCCTATGACTAGGTGTATTCGTCTGCTTCTTCCTACCTCCATGGATCCGGTCTTTTGATTGCGTATGAGTGGGGACTTCCTCTGAATGGTGATTGGCTCAGACAGCGGCAAGGCGCGGTCGGTCTCATCTCGTGAGAGGTCCTCCAGGCTGCCGGGGTCGGTCTGTTTCTGTCCGATCAGAGAGAAAGAATACGTATGCTGCAATCTGCGGGACAACAACACGGTGACAAACACTGGGATGGGATTCTACCTGCCGCGCTACCTCTGCAGAAGCCGGCCTGAAGCCGAAGCCAGTCGGTGCGTTCTCCTCCTCCTCGACGCCTTTGACTCCGGGGCTGAAGTGAAGCTCTACGTGGAAGCGCTCCTCGGAGGAGATGTCCTTTAGGGGGAGCAACGGAGATGTTACAGATGTTAAATGTTCCAATACTATTTCTAATCTCCTGCTGCACAAGTTTGTTTATATACACATGTACGCTACTCAGCACTACTGCTTTTTGTTTGAAACTGCTAAATCTAATATAAAACGATGATTGGTTTTACTTATTATATTGTAATTCATTCCAGTGCGTGCTGCTCAGAGTACATCCCAGTGGCCGGCTCGCCTACCGATAGCTCGGGGCTACATAGCTAACGTTAACGGACTTGCATGGTGCCTCTTTTACAAGTTTATACTTTAAAATCTATTGAAAAAAAACATGTACAAATGTAAACACACAGACGAGAGGTACCAAGATGAGACAGTGTCATGGAGGCCATGTGAAGCATCAACAAACAAACAAACACACTACCTTATTGTTGTCCTCGTACAGCATGATGACAATCTGAGTCATGTAGTTGAGTTCGGAGACAGCATTGAGGTAATCCATGGCACGCTTCCACTGCTGGTCCTTCTCCTCCTGTCGCAAACACATTCAAAAAATAACTTCTACCCCCATCTGAGGACACATCTACAGTTCTGTGGGACTGATGTTCGACCGCTTACATCGAGCAAGCCTCCGTAGCGGAAAATGCTGAGCAGGGAGTGGACGTGACTCTCACTGGTGAAATATAACCGTGTCCTGACGTGGCGCCCCGGAGACATCACACCTCGAGAGTACCTGAAGAAGAAGAAGACACATTCAGTCAGTCCAAACACTTTGCATCACGTCTTCCCATCACAACGGCCTTTCAATTTACTCACAGCGGGTGCAGTTTGTTGACGGACTCGTCCTCGTGGGTCCTCTGCAGGTCCAGCTGGATCTTTCTCACCAGTGGGAGGCAGTGGGCATATGCTATGTCCAGTTTCTCCACTCTATTAATGCCATATTCCTTGAAACAAAGAAGAAAAATATATGAATTAAAACAAATCTTTAGAGAATTAAAGTAAGTGTATCTATAAATATCTAGCCACTGTGCTTTCCTTCTCTATATCTTGAATATTGAAACAAAAGACGGAAACTATCCTTAAAAATGTTTCTTTGCAGTCGACCAGATGCAACAACCGTCTCCTCACTACCTGAACTTCCTCGCCTCCGCCTCCTCCTCCTCCTCCTCCTCCTCCTCCTCCTTCCTCCTCCTCCTCCCCCCCCCTCCTCCTCCTCACCTGTGGGATGACGATGTCAGCCACAGCTCGAGACAGTCTGAACAGCTCCAGCGTGTCCTCCAGGCCCAGAGTGCCGTTGTGGATGACGTCGTACTTCACGCAGTCGTAGATGTCCGGTATTTTGCTGATGTCGTAGCGGCCGTTCTTCATGCGGAAGTCTCTCTCCAGTTTGGACCAGCGCTGCAGCATCAGCTCCAGAGTCTCGCTGTGGTACAGCTGCAGGTCTGGTGAGAGAGACGAGATCGTTTAACACGATTAATCATCGACTTTGTAAACATCATCCATTTATTGAACATGGCGACATCGCTGCAGACCCCTGAGGCACTGACCGACGTCCAGCCGGTTGACAGTTGTGCCGAGAGCAGGGCCCGTTGAGCACCAAAGCTTAGTTTATACTCACCGTAGTGAAGCCGGTGCGAGCACCAGAAAATAATGTGGTCACGGGCGAGTAGGCTCCGCAAGTGCACCTCTGAATTTTTGTAAATTTGCGTGTGGCGTGTGCGATGTCACACATAGTTCACTGATGGATTTATAACTCGAGAGAAAAGGGGAAGCGTCGCTATAATTGATTTATCATGAATATCTTGTTTTCATAATCGCTAGAAGCCAAAATCGTAGTTTTGAAAATCTAATTTGATGAATTGCCCAGCCCGAGCACGTAGTACTGAGAAACAAAGCGTGTTCAAGTATTGTAGAGGATCATGATATTGATTCTGCAAAGAAGTGCAAAGAAAATGTCTCTTTGAGGCCACAAATACATTTGCATATATTTAAGTAGACACAAACCTGTGCACATGAAACCAAAACATGTCTGTATAATATGGGCTGTATACCACCAGGCAGTCACCCAAACGCCCTCGCTCACCGGCTGACGTGGGGTCCTCCATCCTTGTGCGGATCTGGGAGGTGAGGCTCTGAATGAGGGCGTAGACCTGGTCACATGTGGCCACCGGGTTCTGGACTATCTTCATTGAATTCACCAAAGAGGCACTGCAGGTTGGGGCCAGCTGTCACACACGGACACAAAAAGAAGAAGAAGAAGAAAAAGCAGCACAAAAAGGTGTTTAATAAAAAGCCATGTTTAAAACAAATGAATACTGACGGCTTTCACTTTACAAAGAGCTCAACAGGCTGCTGAACCTTTGTCATTGGATTCAACAGAGCCACATGAAGAAATATCATTAATGTGCAAACAGTTAGTTCAAGAGAGTCAATCCTTTCTGCTCAGTGATCAAAGGAGATAGGAACCCGCTGTCTCGACATATCATCTCAGCCTAACTATTACTGTGGGAAACTACAAAACAATACACTTGAATTTATAGGTTCTGTATCTGCCCACAGTCGATGAGTTTATAGAAACAGATGGGAGAACTGTTCTGCTGTGGACGTATTTTAGACACCTCATAGAATCTATATCAGTTTCAGAGAACGCTATATTTAGAATACTTTCAGCAGCTTAACTTGTGGAGTTACGGGGGGAGTGCCTCCATGGCGCATTTACAAAAAGGGACTTTAAACCAAAAACAAGTTTTTAATCAGCTACCAGGCCAATGTTATCTAGTTCAACACCGACAAGCTGAAGAATCTGTGGCAGCCGTCTCGTGTCTTTTTAACCTCTTGTTAAAAAAAAATAATCTCAACCCACGCCTCCCCGTGAACTACGGATCGATCTCTTAGTTATTGTATTTGTAGCCGATTCAAACTCCTGCAGCAGACTCTTGGCTCATCATGAACCAACACATGTGCTTCCTGTGTAAAAACCGCCGGCTGTACAGGAGGTGCACACAAGTGTACAGATTTTTAACAAAAGACGCTTAAAAGATCATTTAATTGCTGTTTTGTAGTTGCTTTCCCTGTTTATTATTGTCCGTGTTGTTTCAGTCATGTAGCATTACTATTGGTTAGGAGCTAACACAGGTATGTATTGTTATTATATATCCTTTATCTTTGTCATATCTTATGTATACAGATGTTGTGCTCTCTATAGATTTGTGAAAGTGTAACATTATTTAGGTAAGCCCAGTGGGGTTTTCTGCCTCTTCGTGCTCAGTGATATTATTTATCTCCGTCATGTCTGTGTATTGTCTAAACTGTGCAAGTGATTTTTTATTTCCCCCCCCCCTGCTACCCTCCTCGGGGCCTCACAGAGCAGACTAAAGTTGAGTCCTCTACTCACCCTGTCGAAGTCCTCGTCGGTGAAGTCCCGGTCCTTCTGCAGGATCTCGTGGAGTCGGGCCTTGACGCGGTGCTGGCAGCTGCTCAGCGAGTCGCTGTCGTTGTCCAGCAGCCCGTTCATGTTGGCGCTCTTCACCATCTGCACCAGGATGGGTGTCAGCTCGCCCTCCAGAGCCAGCAGACCCTACACACACACACACACACACACACACACACACACACACACACACACACACACACACACACACAGAAGTGTGAAATCTGTGATTCGTTTGTGCCAGCATGCAACTCATCAGTGTGGCTATCACACAGATGACAGCTAGCATGAGCTGTTGTACTGGGACTAAAGGAAACCTAACAGCTTGATGTTTTTGTGACATGACTGATCTTGTTGACATCGAGTCATTTCTACGCTACATAAACACATTTTAGTTTCATCTCACAGTAGTGGACATCACTCAGCGGTCCTCTCTCATCTAACGAAGCCGTTAATCTCTGAAAGGAAAACATAATGAGCTCGTAGAAGGTCGCTTTCCTTTTCTGAAGAAGAGCTTTGAAAACGTCATCGGAGTCTATTAATTATATATTATCGAGTATGTTTTACACGTTCTTCTGTCCAGCACCTAGTATGTATCGTCTGGATGGGCGTGCTTTTGTAAAATATAATTTTTTGTTGTTTTAATGTCATGTGAGAGTCTGCAGGTGGCGCTGTTTTCCCTCTATTTAACTGAGACGATGACTCCAGCTGGTTTATTTTTCTATCAATGGACATTTCTGTAAACATAAATATTAACGTCCTGTAACTGCATTTAAAATATGTAGCTGCTTGTAACAAACTTCAAAGAACAACTGAACAGATGTTGAATCCTTTTTCGTTCGTACCGATGAAACACAGCAGCAGAACAGAAACCTCTCTCTCTGGCACGGAGCTCTCAGAATAGCCGCCTACCTTTGCGAAAGCCGCGGCAGTCATCTGCACTCTGCCTTCGTCGGACGCGTAGATCTTCAGGTCGTGTCTGTAGGTGCTGTGTAACCGGAGCAAGCCGCAGCCTGGAAATCCAGCGTAGTCTCCTACAAAGACCAGTGAAAACAGACGAGGAACCTGCTGGTTTACACAGTTACTCAAAAACCGGCTGCATCTTTGTGTGCAACAAGCAACAGTTTGTTGTAAGATGTCACCACCGTGGAATCGTTTTTTTAGTCCGACACCGTTACACCTCGTGTGTGTGTGTGTCTCACCTTGACCTCCGGGGTACATGCAGCGGAAGGCTCTCCCCAGCTCCTCCGCCTGAACTCTGCCAGCAGGCGTCAGCTCTCCTCCCCACTTCAGCACCAGCAGCAGAGATGGACCCTCCTTACGCGTGTCTGAACACACACACACAATACAAACGACAAACGGTAACTTCAGTTGGCCAGCTCCAACTTGAAAACATACTACTTTATAGTAAGAGATTAAGAAAAGGCCTTAATATCTTCCTACCTTCCTCCTCACTTGAGGTTTTGGGCTGCCCATGGGGCAGGTAAGTTAGTTGCACTTTTCTGTTGATCCCAGAGAAATGGCCGTACCTTTTATTGGCAAGAAAATAAAGCAAATCTGGAGTCAATAAAAAGATAAAGCTGTTTATGGATAAACATGATTGTAAGCCTCCTTTTTTTAAACTCTGATAACAAAATGGGGGCCGTTACTACTGAGGATTAGACGACTGACGATGTGGTGTTTACTAGTGGAGCAACAGGACCAGGATGTGCAGTTACATGCAAGTAATCCCTTATTAAAATACAATGACTGTGAAGCGGTGAATGAATAAATATTTTAGCTTCTGGCTTTTCCGGTGTTTCAGGGAGTTCCGGTACCGGGGACTCAAGAACGCTTTTTGAGCGTCTTCGTCCCGTCTCAGAATTGAAGGCGTGTTCACTCTCAGTCTCACACAAAGAGGACTTTGGATATATAAATATATAAATATATACACATCGATCAACAACGATCAGCACTAAACTGCCTGGGCATCGTCTGATGCATTTGGTAACATCATTACTGTGATTTATCAGAGACAACAAAGGACAAATTCACACACATACAGAATATATGGCAATGAAAGAGTGAATGAATGAATGAATCTTCATTAGTTTTCTGTAGGGGTGTTTATGGGAATGTGGATCTTTCAGATCAATTTGTAAAGTGAGTCAGAGGTTTGAATATTCCACATTTTAGTCTGTGTGGAACTCAATGTGGTCCTGACTGCAACACTGGAAGGACGGAGAGATTGAGGGTCCGTGTCCACCAAAGGGTTCTCTTCAAAATCTCACACGGCAGGCCGGTCCTCTCCCTACGCGCCTCATCCAGAGCCAGTGGTCTGAACTTCTTCAAATGAACACTGGACTGGAGATCAGCTGATGTTTCTATACTTTATGAACCATTCTGCCTCGTCCTGTATCGTCTGATCTGTATTCTGATGTTTTGTTTCTATAATTGATGCGTTTGTAAATCGTTGCTGCAAACCCAGTTTCCGATAAAGTTGACCTGAACCTAGTGTTTTAAAGAATACACGAGTGAAGTCGTGCCATTACCATTTGGGCGTATAAAAGTCAATTAGCTTCATGTTTCTTGTGCGTAGGAGGCTGTTTACAGGCGACACACTGCAGCTAAATCAACATCAAAGGCTCTTGGAGTCGTGTTTGGCAGATGGTGACCTTTCAAAAACGAATTTGTCCCAAGCACAGGACGAACCCAAAGACAAACTCAGGACACTCTGTCCAAAATCTACAAGAAGACGAGCTCCAGACGGTGAGGCAATGCATGTACCCAAACTAATACCAGATCACCTTATAATGTTACAGGATACTTACCATACATCGGAGTTCTTGCACAGTTTCACTATAAAACCAGTATGGATGTAAACAAATGTAATTTCCTTTTTGCAGTCTATCATGGTTTGAAAACAACGTAATGACCTAGACATGACTTCAATGAATATGAGACGGGGCGACTACTGGTTAATAAAGAGACCCAGGTCACTTCACTCACATTTCCAGAACAGTCTTCAGCTGCTCCAGTTTGGACTTCTTCTCTTCTATCTCACAGTCGTTGTGCTGTCCTAGTTCTGCCAACAACTGACGCGTGATGTCCAGCACCTCCTGTTGAGTTCAGAGGAACAAGCTGTCAGAGATCTCTCTCTCTCTCTCTCACACACACACACACACACACACACACACACACACACACACACACAC